AAAATTGTCGTGCATGTATCACCACTACTATAGGTAACAGTAGAATATAAATCTTTAAAAAAAAAACACACTTTTGTCATAGCGGTATTATTTTCAATGATTTCATATAAAAGACGATATTTTTACTGTCCTACCATAACACTTCGGCGCATCGGGAACTGTATTATTAATATGTTATTTTTAGCTTTATTTTCTCACTTACTTAATTTACCCAAATTATTACCGCTATAGCAGTATAGTATTTAAGTGCGTATTTGAAAGTAGTTTTTTTTCCTTCAGAGAATTTCAAATGTTCCTAAATGTGTAATGTATTTGGGAGGGAGGGGTGGTTACAGTCGATTGATCGTATGAAATTGGTAGTTTCAAAAATAATATAGTATGCAAAAATAATAATTTGTCGTAAATTTCCTTGAAAATTATTAATAATACATAACGTGTTAAATGTTATTATAAACTATGAAATATAATATATACAAATAATTATAATATATGAAAAAATAATGTGTATGGAAATAATTATAAATTATGAGCTATCCCTGGTATAATATATCCATCGAATGTTTTACTATTTACAATTTTTTTTTTTGAAATTTTCAACACATTTACATGTGGTTTTTTCATTATTTTCACTTTAATAACCATCATGCCTATTTCTTCCTTTTCACTTTTTATGAAGTCTAAAGATATATTAATTATTTATATTTTTATTTATTATTTTTGAATTTTCGTTTTATTATACAATACACATGTACGTAATAAACTACACAGTATATCACAGTCAACCGAATATGTGCATAGAGTGCAGGAAACATATTTAGATTTCAGATAAATGACATAATCCGATAATATGGATTATTAATTATTTGTTATCTATTCCAGCGTTTCTCAACCATATTGTCGCGACCCACTTTTGGATCGTGAATAATTTTGAATGGGTCTTCAAAAAAATTAAAACGTTAAAATAATATTTTCAATTTCAACTACCCGTATAAAATAGTTATACAAATAATTAATGAAACAATTTTCGTAAATTATTTTGCTTGACAAACAAATATGAATTCATAATTTTAGACCCTGGTCTTTCAACGCTATACATATATGGACGTTTCACGTCTAACCTCACTCTGTCTTCCCATCACAGCCCGGGGCATCTTAGACATATTTTCCCTGTTGGACCAAAGGTATAATATCAGAGATGTATAAACGAATCTTTGTTGCGCCACAGACACGACCAATACACGCGGTGCTAAGAAAAACGAGTGGACATTTTTGACGACGCATCCGTTCGTTTGGCCGTGAATAATGCAACGTTTACGACCGGACGGAGTTGGTATTTTGCGGTCGGTTTGTAATCCGTAATGATAATAATGATAACAATAATATTGTAAACGTTTTGTTGCTCGTCTATTGGCAGCCACGGCGGTTATAATATTTTAATTTTTAATCGCGTTATCAAAAACTCAACGGTGCGCGGTATAATATCGCGTGGCATCGGTCAAATTTGTTATGTATACCTTCGTTAATAATAATTATAATACCGGCGAATAAATAATTGACATCGACCTCCCCACCCTTGACATCAAAGGTCGTGCGGTATAATGTTATTACCTGCGTACACGGTTCTATCATTATATCGGTTATTACCTATTATAATGTACACCGGAGTGTATTTACCGCGGGTAATTATGTTTTGAAGATTTTGCGGTGTATTGGTAATAATAATATTTTAAAGGTACACGTATAACATATATAATATGCATCATTGCACCGAGGCCGTCATCGGGAGAGAGAACTAAATATTATTTTCCGGAAAAAACATCATACTCCTAGAACGTATAACATACAGAGTGCCCCATCAGACGAAGATACCAGAATCGATATCGGAAAATGTTTACGTACGTTTTTCGGGGTATTTTTTTTTTTTTTTTTTTNAGGTACATGTATAACATATATAATATGCATCATTGCACCGAGGCCGTCATCGGGAGAGAGAACTAAATATTATTTTCCGGAAAAAACATCATACTCCTAGAACGTATAATATACAGAGTGCCCCATCGTGACGAAGATACCAGAACCGATATCGGAAAATGTTTACGTGCGTTTTTCGGGGTATTTTTTTTTTTTTTTTGTCAATCAACCGGCAGCTCTAAAATGTTCTATAATATTACTTTTATTTTTTGTCACCCTTATTCCCGGGGTCGAAACGACCGAGTACTTTTGATTTTCACTGTTCAAGCGCCACCACACGAACGATACTGTCCACTACACTACTGGTCCCGAAATTAAAAGTGGAATATCTCGTCGGTCTCTATTTTATTATAATATACGAGTATAGGTTCTATTGAGTTGATACGTTTGTCACGAATCGGTGATTTTCTTGGTGAGTTTTAAGTGAATTTGAATTCTGTTTTGTTTTATTCAATCATTATATAGATTCGTTTTATGTATTAAGATTTTAACACCGTTTACAATTTTTTACCCTAAATCTATATAGATTAAATATATATTATATACTTTTAATGAGTAGGTATACACGTTTGACTTTAAAAGAGGGTCTAACTCCATGTCTCAAAAACACATGATTTGTATAGAGAATATTTTTTTATAATAATTTGTACATGCGTAATATAATAGTATCGAATTTATCATATATCAGTTAAGGTTAAGCCCAAGGAGAAATAGAGAAGGGCGATATACTTATCCGGCCGTTTTAATGTGTATATCCGAACTCAGAATAGGTTGTTAAATAGGAAATCAAAGGTTTAAATTGCTTGTAAATATAAATTGAATAACTTTATTTGTCCTATACCTTTTCAAATTTCCACTTAACAGTGGCAAACTCGTTCTCAGTATCATCTCTTTTTTTAATAATCATTGAAATCACACGGTAAATTGTATAATATAAACGAATACAGTACGAATTACACTATTTACGGATAAAATAAAAACGAATGGCTATTATACTGGCCATAAGTGGCCAGAAATCTATGCTATTTATACGTTTCTATGACAAAATATCTCCGTCATATAAATTAAGTATTATATATTTAAAAAAAAAAATAAAAGTTTTTTTTCATCCAACCAAAGTGATTTTGTTATGTTTTTAAAATAAAATAAAGCAAATAAATTAAAAAATCAATATTAATTACATATAATAACTTTTTAAAATTTGAGATTATATTATATTTTAATCACAAAATGTTAGAAAAAAGTTTTTACCGAAGATATTTTTTACAAAGATGTTTTAACGAAGATATTTCTACTTGAAATATTTTGACGGATCACCATTTATTCTTACTTATACAGAATAATCAGAATTTTATGTTAGAGCGATTTTCTTCTGTACGAAATAGAGAAAAATATATAAAACAAAGTTGTTCGATTTATAAACATCTAGAATATCAGTCTATATAAGAACATATTTTATTTGAAAATGAAATCTATTATTTGTTGGTGTTTTTCAATAAATATTCCGCTAAAATTATATATATTATGCGACATCATGACCTCTTAAATATCGAAGAGACGCTTGCATATAATGCAGCAGTACTCTTATATTATTGAAGATCTACAAACTAAAACAAAGACGTCCAAAAAATCAATAACAAGTTTGCCTGGTTTTAAAAATAAATACATCGTAAATATTTATCAACGATGTTTTGTAAAAAGAACATAAATACCACTAAAACATTTTTTTTTTCAGGAAACAAACAAAACTGCTTTGCAAAGAAATAGTAAAATAGTTTTTAATTATGTTTATCGTGTAAAACAATAAAATTACTCGTACACATAAGTACACAATCTTTGTATTTTGTGTACGCAAGTATACATGCATTGAATGTGGTGTACGCCCTTTTAACAAATCAGTGATGATTTAATCATATTTTAAAAGGGCGTCTGAGTATCTTTTAGTCGATATTACCAACTTAATTTTCTGTATTTAAAGACGTTCTTCCACCAGTATATGTTCTTAATTTTTCTGATTTTTTCGATTCCAAAAATGTATTTTTCGATTTCTAGTAATATACTCCCATTAAACAAAACGCCATCGATATATATTATATTTTAATGTTGAAGCTTCGACAAAACCGTCGATGAAGTGAAATATTATAACATTGAAAATAAGTGCACTTTATTATGTACGCATTGTTATAAGGATTTACGCCACACCGCAATTTGTACGCGCGTTTTCGATGAATATTTGATTAAAACGTGAAAACGGATACCTAGGTATTTATTATTGTCGGTAATAATACAGGTCAGTATGTAATAATAGCGTATAATTGCGAATAAGGGTCCGAAATATTATGCTGGTAGGTTATTATTATGGGTCCTGGTTAAAACCCCGACAAAAATACAACTGATAATACGCTCTATTCCGAATAGATTTTCGTTAGCAATGGTTTATTGTTGCAATTACATGATTCTGTATATAACAGTGGTGTAAATATGGGGGGTAGAGTCGATTTGGGTGATACATCATCCCCAAACCCTTTTTTTTTTCTTCATTAAAATATATTTTTAAGTAAACTTGTATATGTCGTATGGTATGAAATATTACTATAACGTTTAAAAACTTACTTACGGAATAGTACATTGAAAATATGCACTCTGGTTGTGATTTTCGACTCAAGTTTAATTGTCTACCAGATTACATGAAAGTAACTTTTTTTTTCATGCAAGACTTAATGAATTAACTGCTACGTCCGTAAAGGACATTAAGTCACATTAACTTACAAGTTGATGAAATAATTGACAAGCTAACAAACAAAAAAAATAAGGGAACTTGATATTTTGTTAGGTATAATCATTAATTTTTGTTTTTAAATACTTAAAAAACTTATTAACTATGTATGTTCTTTTTGTTATTAAAGAAAATACTCAAATCGCCCACTAAAATAAGGCCCATAATCGCCATAATCGATTTTGAATCAGATACGTTCATTGATTGCATTCGTTATACGTCTCCCTACTGGATGCTTGCTCAATATTAAATTAAATTTAATTTTAACCGACGACAACCACGGCAAAGACCACGACCACGACATTGACGTTCCTGAGCATAGGCATGCCTACGACACTCACCTTTTATTTGTTTATTGTTTCACTTATGCTCAAAATTTCCCATATCTGGGTAACATAGATTTTGTAGTTAACAAAATTACCTCCCTTTTATACACCAACTATATTAATATAATCGTATATCCATACTGTAGCTCAAATGTCCTGGATGTTTTTATTTATAACCGAACAAGTATTTTGCGGGTCGTATTTTTAACGGCCAAACAAAATTTAAAAAAAAAAACCTGTTTTTTACTCTTTGCAAAATGTATTTTCGTTTTGGTTTTCGGTCATTTTTCCTTTTAACACAAAATCTTTATTACGATTTTTTACTGATTTTTGTGTGTATTGAAAATATTATTGTTATAATATATTGATTTTATTGAATTTTTGCATTCAACGGTTTTTTTTATTCAATCGGATATTCCGATGGTAAAGAAAATAGTTTATTGAGCGGTACTAAAATAGTCTATTGCCTATAAGCCTATTTTATTATTTTTAAAGTTGCAGCACGCGCCCAGTGTACGTAACATAAAACTGTTTACTTCTCGGTAAACATTTCGAAATTTACATTTGTATACGAATAATATTTCTCTCCGAAACGCTGGGTCTATACCTAGCTACTATGCATAATATACTATACTTTATTCCCATACAGAATAAAAAATTATATAATAATATACGGTTGGATAACTATTGTAGGTGAGAAGTTGGGAAGGTAGGATATAAAGGGAAATTTAATGTATATTTGTACGCAACGATTATGATCGTTGCTAACGAAAAACGATTCAGAACGGAACTCGGCCAATTGTATTATTTTTTCAATAATGTGCACTTTCATGATAACAACGTATGTTTAAAAAATATTAAAAACTTAATAAATGGCCTTTCTAAAATATACCAACAAACACCAAAATGCAACAAAAAAAGATCTCTTATGTGATGTTTTAATTGGAGCAAGATTTCTAGAAGATATTTTTTAAAATACGAAAACAAAAAAACATCATTTTAAAATCAAAACATTCTTCATCGCTCAGAATATAAAAAAACATGTTTTTTTTCTTCAAAAAACTCTTATCGAAAATTAAAAAAAAAAAAGCTGTCCTAGGATAATAGGGATGAGCGCAGCTACTGTTGTAGGTTGGAAGTTGATATGGAAGGTATGATATAGAAGGGGATTTAATGTATATCTGTAAGCAACGATTAACCATTGCTAACTGAAAAATCATTCTGAGTAGAGTTCAGTTGTGCTTTGTCAACAATGTACATATATGTTCTGGTAAAATAAACACATATGCATTAAACATTTTATTTATTAATATTTGTATTGAACCTATTATCCCGATCATCCCCGGTTCTCACAATTTTTTCCCCGTTAATTAGGAAAACTTATGAGAAAATTAAAAAAATTACCTCCCTAAATTACCGCCCTAGTCCGATTTCCTTTCAGAAAGAGTGCTATCATTGTCATTCGGAGCAATGTTGCTGATATAAAAGTTTTCCACAGAAAAAAAGAATAATAATAAACATCATAAAACTATAAGCTTTTTCGCTCCGTTCAGAATCTAAAATTTCTGATACACAAAAAGAACCGAAATGTATTCGGAAATTGTACCGTGAGCGTGTAGGACATTAATTTCACCTCGCCCAAAAAGGTCGGATCATAAACCCGATTAAAGTCGCGGTGTGACTAGTGGCTAAAGGATTTTTTTTTCTTCATTACCTTATTATGTTGTTATAATATTATAGCGAACGCGAAATGGATATAGATGTAATAAAGTACGCGAGACGAGACCGTCGTCGTCGTCGAGCAAAGGAAAAATGTTTTATTTAATGAAACCCGACGGAACATGATTTCTACCCACGGTGCTGAAACAGCTATTATAATAATAATATTATACGGACGTAAGACCGTAGTTTCAAAAAAAGAAAATATAATAACAAAACTAAACTCGAAACAAAACCGAATAAATGAATGTACGTGGAAATAAAAGTGCGGTTCCGTCGTATATACTATTAGATATTTTGTACACATAAATTCGGGGTAGACGATCGCGGAAAATAATGAAATTAAAACAAAAATGAAAAAGGAAAAAGAATCCCCTCGATACAAGGTCGACAACCTCGAGTACCTGTATCGTATACGTTGCGTCAGACCGAATATATTGTTATTATAATATATAGGCACAACGGAATGGCGTAATTTTGGCTAGGTCTGGGATGGAGGGGGACTTAACAAACTTTAATAGAAGAGGTCTGAAGTTTATGATTCAAGAATTATTTCTTCAACTGACATCGGTCGACATTTACAAGACTGCAATCAATAGAAATAAAATAGACATTAAATAAACATAATTATCAACACGAGCTCAATATTATCTATAATATACGCCACACGGCCATAGAAATAATTTAAATTTAAACACTATTAAAAAATTCATAAACGTATTAAAGAAAAAAATAATACACAGCTCACCAAATTATATTGTTAACTATTGTAGTATGAAATATCAAAATAATATGTCTAACGAATTCGCTGTAATTCTGAACAATAATACAAATAATGTAAAAATCGCTTTTAAGACTAATAATAATTTAATCAAATATATAAACAATAGAACTAAAAACTTCATAAAAATTCCCCTTCTTTGGAAATTGCTGGTATATGTAAACTTAAATGTAACTGTAATACATTTTATATAAGTAAGATAACATTTACATTAATTCAGTTTTAGAGGAATTACACATACACAATGAAATAAAGAAAAATAATTTTAATAATATTTTAAATATTCAATAAATTTAATATTAAATATTCAATTTATATAATTCAAACCGATTTTGAAAATAATATCTTACATCAATAATGCATTTTAGAAAATAAATAATAGTAAAATAATTTATGTTTCTTAACATATCTATGTCTGATAATAACTAATTTTAAATAATCTCTCCCATTAAAATAAATTATTTCTATATTCTATGTAAAACAACCAATTTGTAAATTTTTGTTTTTTATATATTCCTTCATTTAATTTTTTATATTCATTTTACATTTTGAATGTGATATATTTGATGATGAATTTTTAATTCGAAACCGGTCGTATAATAACCACACTTATCATAATACTCCAGGCGACGCATTCATTCATTTATTTATTTATTTATTTACTCTATTTATTTACTTTATTTATTTATGAGTATTAATCACTTTTATAATATTGTTTTTACTTAATTATTTTATTAACAACAATACAGAATTATACAATGTATAATAACAGATTCACTCTTCTCGGCATCAGAGCCATTTCATATTCGGTTTTCTAGCTCGACAAGCTTTTATGCGTAATTGTTTAATCGATTCCATACAATGGAATTATACGAATTATACGAATAAAATGTTTAGTAATTATAGGCACGTAATAAATAGTTTCCTAATCGTCAATTTTATAAACGAATAACAATACAATTATAATTTGCAATTACCCTGACATTGTACTCCGCAAACAGCTTTTAACAGTGTGATCTTAGCTACACATTATATTATCGTTTTGACTGTTACACTTTGGTACGAATTTTGTCAAGAACATTTAAATTTACATTTATGTTAACATCCGGAATTCAATTTGAAAACGCGTTAAGAGAACACCACACCGGCATCTACAGTCTCCGTCTTACAAGCGCGAAACATAGCACATTTGCGTTCAGTAGGGAACATTTTGTACCGTTAGTTTTAATATTAAAGCGAATTGACCGATTACCAAAATTAAAGGTAAGACGATTATATATGTATTAGCGTTGATGATTTTTCGACGATTTAAATGAGACAAGAGTACGTTAAATATCACAAATTAAAAATGATTATATCTTGTTTAAAAATTTAAATACCGAAAAAACATCAACGCTAGAACATATAATATAATCTTCTTACCTTTAAGTTTGGTAATAAGTTAATTTGCTTTGATATTAAAACTAATGACACAAAATGTGTACTACTGAACTCAAATTTGCTATGTCTCGCGTCTGTAAAACTGAAACAATAGATGTCAGTGGGTATCCTTTTAAACCCAAATATAAATATAATTATATAAAGATATGCCCGTGTTTACATAAATATGTGAACATTCTCAAAATATCCCATACATGAACTCGTTTGGTAATGTCCTTTACTCAAAATATTCTACAGTATTCCTAATTTGTAACACAAATTCAGAATCTTGACGATGTTTTGTCTATAGTCCATTATTTTGAATTTTCCTCCAAATGCGTTGCGTAAAAAAGAAAAAAATACGACAAATTCTGTTGCATTTTCAAACACCTTTAATAGGAGTTTATACGTTACAATTTAAATGGAGATGTTTTGAATACGGGATATTTCTGACGGGGATGTTTAGGCCGTGTGACGATTTGTACGTGAGTCATTATTATTCACGGGATATATTAAGGGAGCTGATAAATGAACAAATTGTTATCATTAATTTATTAAAAAAAGTGTTAAGGGTCCGGTGGTCATGTTAGCGTACTATTTATTTATACAGAATAAATCCTTTTTGGTTTATTTTTCGAAAAGCCACGGCGGGAGGTGGGTGGAATGATTCAGCTTGTCTCACTTTTGGGCACTTATATGTTAAAATGAGTATTATTTTTACTATTATTAATTAATTAAAACTCTACGTCCAATGACATACAGGTAACAACGGGTTTAAGACAGGGGGACGTGCTTTCTTCTGTCTTGTTTAATCTAATATTGAAAAATGTATAGTGAAGAAAGACCGTAAAGACCATTTAGGTGTGAAATTGGGTAATGTTTCAATTGGTCTTTTAGCATACACGGACGATGTAGTCCTATTAGTGGGAAGTGAAGAGGGTATCCTCGAACAAACTAAAAAATTACTAGAGACATCGAAGTGAATAGGGCTAGAAGTTAACGAGGAAAAAACAAAATTTATGATAATTAAAAAAAGGATTAGTGGATGACGCATATACCTATCTAGAAGTGGACGAATACAAATTCAAAAAAGTACAAAAACTCTAATACCCTAAGGTTATGCATTACAGAAAAGAACGAGAATCAAATTGAAATAAGCGTCATGATATGAGCGGTAAGCGGTAAACAGATTCTTTCATGCTTTTCTGGTTTAAACAAGGTACATATGGTACATATATAAGGTACATATAAGGTACTTATGAGTCAAGAATGCTACACAAAGGCTTGAAGCTTCACGTTTACTGAACACAAATAATACTTGTAGTGGCGAATAGAATGTGAAACCTGGACAATGAACAAAACTCGGATATATAACCTATTAGTATTCGAAATAAAGGTCTTAAAAAAAACCGGAGAGTGGAGAATCCGAAGAAACAACTAAACCAAAGAACTCGCCCTTGAGTAGTCAGCAAAATAAGTAACGCATACAAACGGTTAGATAATGTGTACTCGTGAAACTTTCCGTTCATAAGACCACTTTAAACAGATTACCGGATGGCATAAAAACATACAAAATGCAATTTGAAAATACGTTCCAAATCTAAAATATTATCGATATTTACTTTTTAGTTCAATAGTAAATTAACAAATTGCAATACTATAACAATTACGATTGATTTGCGATGTTTGTTATTTATAATATTACAGGTTGTCTTGCTAAGCAATACTCGCGTAATGTTACTTTGTCAACGACCAATGAGAACTACGACCGCACGGAAAGTATACAAAGTATAGTGGGCATGCGCCTGCTGACCAAAATACGTATTTTGCCGACACATCTATTTACTTTTCAGTGTTTTACGTATCCTACTCCCGGTAATGCGTTTGGATACTTTTAGCGATTCCCTCTAGAACCTAAAAGTGCTCAAACTCGGAAATAAGAGCTTTATTTTCTTTTTTTTTTTTTTTTACAAGCTGATAGAACCGATACAAATTTTGTTGAAGTTCGATAACACTGACTTCACCGTGTCCTTGCGGGAGGATAGTGACTTAGATTTGTGTACTCTAACAGAACCCCCCCTTCCTCCCAAAAAAATGAAGCCGTTTCAGTGACGAACCGCGTGTTTTTCGCAGGTGGCAAAACGATTTTGTACAATACGAGTATCGCAAAAACCGCACGGATTTACGAGGCTGGCCGAAATAACGGAGACGACCAATCAACGTCAGTTCCCCGGTTACCGCGCCCGATTATTACCGAAATGAGACGATATTACCGAGCATCGTCACGCGACGTGGTGACAGTGCACTGTTTGCGAATCAATAAGCACACAATACCGTAGTATATCGATCAGCTTTTATCGGGTTATTTGCAATGTCGGTCGATGAGCAGCACACCGCCGTAAGCGACGTCGGCGAGAGAGACGCGATTCCCACCGTCGAAAGTAACGTTGCCGCGAGAGACGCGATTGTCGCCGGTGCCGAGCCCTCGCCGAACCGGTGTCAACCGCCGTTCGAGGCGACAGCCTTGACGGACGACGTCCTGTCAGTCGCCGTGGACGACGACAACGACGAGGGCTCCAGCGAAGGGTTTGGCGAAGGATGCAGCTACGGCTTCGTTCGCCTGGGCGGAGGCAGCGAAGTAGGCGAAGGAGGCGACGTAGCAGAAGAAGAATTCGTGTTAGACGTGGACCAGCTGTTCAACGACGACTCGGCGTCGGACGACAAATCGTTCACCTTGGTCTATCACTCGTCGGACCGAAAGAAAACGGCTAACGTAACGGCCGCCCGTAAAGACGGTCGCCGACGCCGCCAACGTGCCGGCCAAAGTAATACTCGGAATAAAATGCGGTCGCGCAGCAGGAGCGATCACCGTAACGGCGGCAGTGGCGGCGACGACGAGAACACGGTCGCGCGGCACCGCAAACGCCGCGTGCGGTTCGTCGGAGTGACAAACGTCAAACCGGATAGCCGGCAGCGCACGAATTATCGGGGCGCGTCGCCCGCGGCCGACCGAAAACGCGATCGCGAACGCCAACCAGCGCGTTCGGACCGACCGGGCAGGAATAACGCGTCGTCGTCCGGTGGCGCTGGCCGAAAAAACCGAAAATAGAAAAATGTATATTCTGCGATCTCGTCCGATTAAAAACCGTTTTAATGTTTTATAAAATATTCTGTCTTATAATTATTATTGGAGTACTGTTTAACGGCCGTGTAGAGACCGATAATAGAGGAGTGCGGCCGGTGGCAATACCCTAAAACTTTAAAAACTTTAGACCGTCGTATCGACAATTTTCGATTCTGAACGAATTGAGGAATGTATCGGAACAGCGTATTTTTTGTCGAGAGAAAATTTCGTTGGACACGACCGTTTTCCACGGACGTGAAATTAAAAATAATTTTACCCCATTGTTATCTATATGAAACATTTTTTTCAGTTTTTGTAGTTTTTGATTTTACTGTATGACGCGAGCGGATATTTTTCCTTAAATTAATTTTTTTCCTCGTCTAAGAATAATATTTTTCTACCGAAAATCGTGTTCAAAAGACGACAAGATGAACTCTTTTCGTAGCATTTCGGATCGATTCGATACATTCGGGAGGCCGATTTTCGATTTTCTTTGTGGTTTTCCTAATAGCTGAGAAAAACCGGAAAAGATCGCGGGAAAAATGGGAAAGTTTACGGCATAACGATTTCGTTATTATATGGAACTTGTATTATTTTTTTTTGTTTGGTTTTTAAACGGTTTTATGTGGATACGATTGTTTGGGCCGAGCGCAGAAATAGTGTTTAAAAATTTAATACGAGGTTTATCACAAGTTGACGGTGAAAAAAAATAAGTTTAATATTGTCAGTTTCTTTTCCGAGTTCAAATTTCGGCGCGAATCGTAAAAATTACAAAATGCATTTCGCCGGACGTCGCCTCAGAATCGTATTTCGTCGGTGACTATGCGTCATCGTTATTCCGTGTATCGATACGAACATCGAATGGCTCTACGGATCCCGCGTGCCTGACTCGCCGCCCGTATGGACAGTGGCGCGCACGCCCGTCGACAGTGCCGGCTCTTGGACTGTTCGACTTACTAATGCGCGTGTACGATACGAATTTACATAATCGACTCGGAAAAATTGCGTCGTTCCCGATAAACTTACTCGGGACACAATGTGACGTACGGTCGTCGTCGTAATAATAATAATAATAATAATATCTTGTACGTCATACAGCTCGTAATAATATGTTAAAACGGGGTCCGTTTAACGCGAAACGAAAATGCATGTTGAATATTCGACAATCGTTTAATTTCGTTACGAAGTTTTACGCGCGTGTGACTGCGCAGTTTCGTAGAACGTAATAACGTATGCGGTCGGAAACTTTTTCGCAGAGTCGAATTTACCACACATTGATGCTCGTCGCGGTGGCGTTCGTCAGCGGTTCGGAAGGTTCGAAAAGCCACTTCACGGACGGGGCCCGTACGCGGCGTTTCCGGCAGGATTCGACATTCGTTGGGTTTATTCGGCCTTTTTACGCGCCGGCGGACGAAATAATAAAAACGCAAACTACTATTATTTTTTCGGTCGTTTTAAATATTAGGACGGACTGTACGGCGGGTGCCGGAAAACGCCGCGTTTATACCGTGATTTTATGAATACGAGTTATTATTGTTACTGTACGTGAATATTAGATATTTTACCTATATTCGATTTAATTGTCTATACTCAATAAATAGTATCGTGCGGAGTCACCATCTACGGCCACCTTGGTATTTTGTCCACAGTTGTCGAAATCAATTTATTAAAGACGTAACCGTGTATACTCTATACAGCTGGCCAATATTTCGTAGCCTTAAGAGAAATATACTGTATGTGATATAATTTTTACTTTTTCAAAATTTCATTTTCACCTTCTACGGCTATCCTATGTTAACTATATTATGTTTGTAATAATCGATGCGACCCAGTAAATGAACTAATGTAGACAACAATAACTGTAATGTGGAATATCGAATTACACAATTATACTACATTGCAGGGATACTGGTCACAGGTGATGACTCAACCTTAAGTAAATAAATTGTTTTAATTAACAGTTGGTGTTGGTTGCACTAATTTTTAATACCGTTATCGATAAAACAATTTCTCTGCAGACCCAAATAAAAATATGAAACTGTACAATATTGCCTGTTATAATAATATATATGCTATACAATCGTTTGTATTTTATACACCATACCGAAATAGCCAAACAAAATAACGAGTTTCCAATCGTATTGTCAGAGAAAAATTCAACGAATGTTTTCCCAGGCATTTTGTAACAATTAAAAAACGTGCCCGGAAAACGATTTAAACTTCCGTATATTATGTTTTCCGCCCTTTTATCCCCACAAGAAGAGTACCGCACACCGCCCGTGCAAAGATTTCTTTCCTTCTTCTTCGTCATGGCAGAATTATTAGCACTGGTGTAATTTTCGGCACAACGATCATTCTAGTCTTACGAACTGACTAGTACACATTGTTGGTCGACGTGTATCTGTGACGATATTCGAATGCGCCGTGTATAGCCCCAGCCTAAATCGAACCGATACGCGTAATCCATTTGTATTCGACAAAACGCAATTAATTATTACAACATTATAATGTATTTTTTTCAATTTTAACGGCTACGATGCGTTTCTTTGAAACAGGCGGTACATTACAAAATTAGATAATCATCTTCCTTAAAGTACCAACTAGATAATTATTTCCTTTCAGAAATTAAATTTGAAAATCAGTGAAAGACTTCTGGTAAAAAGTTGTAAAAAAAGAAAAGACGGACATAATTCACTCGTGGTTGTGCCACTGTTATAGATGAGAAGTTGAGAAAGTAGTAGAGGGGAAATTTAATGTATATCTGTAAGTAACGATGAACCATTGGTAATGAAAAAAATGATTCTGAGCGGAGTTCAGTTGATTGTATTGCTTTGCCAACAATACAATATATGACATATGTCATATTATGGTAAAATGATTAAAACAATTTGCGTTTTTATGAAAAAAATGATTGTTATAAAAAGATTTAAATTTAAAAAAAAAGGTTACCAATGACAACCTTATTTTTAATCTCTCAATTTGTTTTACCAAAAGGTACCGAATTTTCCTCATTATCTCGAATATTAATGAGAATTTCTAAAAATGTTATCTCTAAAGTACCACCTAGAGAATATTTCCTTTTAGAAAAAGTATTATAGTTGATAATCGGAGTAAGCTTTCTGGTAAAGTGTTCACATAAAAAAAAAATATCCCGTTTATACTATTTGCTCCGATGTACTTTAAACTTTGTTTTCACCATACATATGTACCTTAAATGAATTTGAAATATTACTCCCTCTCTCTCGTTTTCTTAGTCTGGATTTGCCCCTGATATAGACACTCGATGACTTTTAAAATTTAAAAGTTATAATACAAAGTTCTCATCTATACCCCGGCAATGTACCCACGAGGTGAAGTACGTCCGGATTTTTTCATATTATACGTGGTGCTATCAAAGTCTAAAAGTTATTTTTTGATATCTGAAATTTGTTAATAGAAATAATACATGCATACTATGTTGTGGCCTATTAAGATATATTACATTTAGACCGTTTTTATTACTCGGTTCAATGGTTTGGAGGAAATTCGCGTATAAAAAACACTATCGTCTGCTCTTTAGGTAATCCGGTGAACAACGTAATATATAATAATATTATCGTGATCTAACTCGTCTCCTAAAGAAAACGTTCGCTTTCGAATCCCTGCGGAGTTACACCACGAGAAATATTATATTATACGATCGAGATTGGAAAAATATTGTATACCATGGGTACCTAGGCGGAGACGTGCACAGAAATGTTCAATGATAGGAGTTGTAGTAAATTATAATAATCATGAATAAATCGTAGAATCTGCTTCTATGGGCGTTGTCTGATTGCAGCCCAAAGTGACCTTTTCTTCCTTTTTCATATCCGGATTGCGGCCCATGCAAAGTAGGTAGGAAATACCGTTTTCAGTGGTTATTAAAACTAAATAAGTATCCCGGTTACGTTCAAAGTATTTTTATATAAATATAATACAATTCATTTACACGAGCCATCTAATATATTCGTCACAAATAGTGTTTTTCAATTTATTATACGAGGGCTAATCAAAAAGTATCAAGACTGGTAGTATCATTCAGAAAAAGAGCATCGAAGAGCAGTAGGATTGGTATCACTTGCTTCTATGATTTTTTCTGAGTACATTTGTTTTTATTGCTTCTCTATAAAATTCTTCGGATTGATTTCACTGATATTTTGGTAAAATATATTTTTCGAGTTTGGCGATTTTGCAATAAACCCAAAAGAAGAGTAACTTGACAGATTTGAAGATTTTAGAAAATTTGTCTGCATTTTTTTCCAGTTTCAGAGGGATGCAACATTTCATGGTTTTTGCCATTAAATATCAATTGAAAAACTGAAAATGTGCCCTCGAGTGGCAGCGAGTTCCTCTTCTTTTGGATTCATTACGAAATCGCCAAACGTGAAAAACAAATTTTAGAAAAATATCGTCTAACCAAAACGAAGAAGTTTATAGAGATTTTATACGAATAGATGTGCTCAGTATAAGTCATAGAAGCTAGGTTTACAAATCGTTTTGCTCTTCAACGCTCGGTTTCCGAGTAATATTATCAGTCTCGATACTTTTTGATTAGCCCTCGTATATTAAAGATAAGAAAACAAAGATAGCCAACCAACAATTAAATCAACCATTAACCTTACAAATTAATTTTTTAAAATATTTTAAATATTTTATGCAATTTTAATTTTATAATAACTATACAAAGGAAGACCTCAGGATGATTGGGGTGGAAATTTGGAGGAAGTGTCAAAGGACAGCGAGAAGTGGAGGGATTTCGTTGATGTGGCAATGGACCTTAACGGTCTTTAAGACACCTATAAGAAGAAGAATAATTATACATTTATATTATATATTTACTGTAAATATGGTTATCAATCGATTTCCATGATATGTTTAAGCTATATTATAATGTAAGTAATATAAAAATGTGTTAGTATATTTAGTATAGAATTTTATCTTATTTACATATATGATTATACGCTTATATAGTTTGTTAACCAATATGTCTTGAGCCGCAATCGGGATACTTATAATTAGGATAAAATAAGTCGGGCTAACCCGTATTTTATTATTTTATATATCTGCCTATCTAAATCGTTGCCGCGAAAATTGTAAAATGTTTCTAAAAAAATTGACCACCGTGATGTTTTCACAATTTTCTACTGGCAAAACGTAATTAATCAATATTTACACGCACTCTCCACAGAAAAATTTCAACCTTGTAGTGAAATATTACAATGGCCAATAATAATCACTGGTAAACCGCGGTTCTAAAAAAGCCTATGTGACGTATTCATTAAATTATCAGCTATTCCATGCAATTTAGCAGAAATAATAAATAATTACGCATATGTTTATTGTAAATTACGTACATTGAAATTACGAGTTTTCTACGTTTTCCGTATACAGGGTGTATACGAAGGTCTAACACCTAAAATAACTTTTGTTATTAAACAGGACAAAAGTTATTTCTAGTGTCTTTAATAGTCGTATTACAACCTATATAATAATATATGGATATAAATATTATTTTATTACGATAATAATATTATCAAAAATAAATATATTAAAAAATAAATACTACTCAAACATTTTGATTTTTTTTTTTTTGTTTTTTCAAATTCCTTTCGTATTCGCATGATAATATGATAATACCGTGTCAATGAAACGAACCAATACCCTGAAAATCAGTAGATCCCACCGCATCATCATTTTTTTTTCCACCCCGATTTCCGAATATTCCTAAAACTTATTTTTATAATATGATTATATTATTACGTAGTCGGTGACGATGTGTGCACTGTGCAGCGAACCACGTATAAAGGATGGATTACGTCCAAGTATTAAACCTGCACATCTATATGCACCGTAGTGTATTTTGGCCGATCCTCGTCGGAAATATCACGTTCGGTTAGATGGTGTCAACCCTACATTGTAAACGACCAAGAAAAAAAATCTCTCTTACCTAGAAGCCTAGCGTTGAAATAACATGTAAGTAAAGGCAGAATAATTATGAATTATAATACGAAAATAGAAGGTAAAACTCGCGATAAAATAATTACACTTACTACACAGATATTGTCCCGCCAGATTTCCCAATATTTCTTGTAATATTCAATTGTTTTTTTTTTTCAATTACCTTAATTTAGCCTACCTAATACGCCCGCAGATCTCGGGAAATCAATCGTTAGTATTACCAGCGTACAATTTAACCAATTTCATTAACTATGGTTCCTTTTTTTTTTGTTACTGCTCTTACTGTTGATTCAAGTTTGCTTGTAATTTTTTCAAGTTCATAATTAGTTTATTTTATAACTTTAAGCGGTCTCGGTGATTTTAAAACATATCGTATTCACTATGAATAGTCATACGAAGATGTCGCAGTAGAATTTGCTGAATTTTCAATTGTAATTTCGGAATCTGAATTAAAACGAACGGGCTAAATTAAAATTTAAGTTCATAGAAACTAGTCGACTAAAATAATATGAACTTAATGTATGTTTCGTTCGTACATTTTGAATTTTGAACTAATATCGTTTATACCGAGGTCTGTGCTTACGTATGTATGTAAATTTAAATAATTGGTTTCCTAAATTCTATAAAACATAAGCGATATTTACATTTTTCAATTGTAGTAGTTTTAGCTTAGCGTTACACAAAATAAAAGACTGATATGACTGATGGGTGTACCGCTGTTTTATGAAAGTAGTGGAAGAGAGGATGCATGAAATTATTTAATTTACACATGTACGCATCGATAAAACACGGCTAACAAAAAACAATAAATTCTAAGCAGAGTATTTTAATTAGTTGTATTTTTTCGCTTGTTAAAAATATAACCAGCTATACATCAAATTGTCACATTTTCCCTTTATAAATAAAACTTCAAGACAAACTAAAAATGACTTTAACAATTCACCATAAAGATAAAAAATACTTTCAAAAATAATCGTATTTATCATAAGATTATTTCCCTTGAAATTTACCAAAAAAAAATATTATTTCATAATGTATATTTTATGCAATTTTAAAACACCTATGTATAATTATATCCAGTGAATAATGCTCACTAATAGATCACTGTTATAAATAGGATAATATACTGAGTTAATTAGTTTATGTACTATACTGCAGATATACAACGATAAACTGCAAACAAAACCGCAATTCTGAGTTGAGTAGTTTTGAACGTGTTTTCTTCCCCTTGTTTACAAGGTAACCAAGAAATTGACATATAAATAAAATGAAACGAGAAGTGAACTTTTAAAAATTTATTTACTCGCTAGGGTATTGAAATAACAGCAAATGACAATGACGAGTAAAATAGTAAAAATTGAAAAATTATACTTCACGCTGAAACATCTGGCTCCGATTATAAATAGTTTTTGTCGTCAGCTTTGACGGGACCTGCAGAACGAGTGGGTAAAATAATAATAATAAAGTGAGCTCCGGAGTTTGGACTGAGGTAAAAATATATTTATTATTATTATTAATTTATTAATGTACATTTTAAATGCTGATCCAAGAATGCGTCAGTTTTCCTATTTGTGCATTTATGTGTGTGTGTGTGTGGGTGGGTGTTTTGTTTGTATGTGCATGTGTATGTTTGTTTCCTAAAATCTCGCCTCCTGAAAAACACACATCGTAGTAAGTCCAATACATTTTTCGATATGCGCTCAAAGTCTAATAAATACTCTTCAAAGACCGTCACAAATAAAATGTAGTGTCTGTTTTTCCAATGGACAATATAGCAAATACAAGTCACGTAAAACAAACGAAAAGGCCTTTAAAATGGGTTTAAGTAATAAAGTACCTATTGTTATTTGTAGATGACAAAATCACTTCGACGTTTTGTAATTTTCTAATCAATTCGGTTTATTGTCAGAGGTATCGACTTTTTGTCGAATTCACTCCAGAAACAGTAAATAATATATTATTTTCATTTTTTCCCCGCTACTTATTGATATTTCTAGCAGCTCTCTCCATACCAAAACGAGCACAAACTCGGGAATTAGAGTTGTTTTGTAGTTGGATTGAAATGATAAAAGTTGCATTGAATTTCAATATGGATTCAACCATGTTATTGCATGTAACAACCCTATAGACTTTTCAAATTAAGCTAGACGATGCAATTTTGTGCAGGCATTGACAAGCGTGCACACAAGTATGTGTCTTTTGGAATTTTCAACCCAAACACTATAATTTGTATGATCAAATTTCACTTTTTTTTTTTTAAATATATTTTACTATTATGGTATTTGATTATTTATTGTTTTTAAAAGAATATTTCTGTAACGCAGAATATGGGGGAGAGGGGGATTCAATTTTGTGACAGAGCTCTGCGGCCCATGAGTGTTTTTAATAATTTATATTTCAAAAATGCCGATTGCATTGTCGTCTTTACACTGCGGCCTTCTGCAATACAAATGTATTGTCCCCAAAACCAATTTTAAAAACCTTTTCATTTATTTCACGTGAACACGTTTTCGGTAAGTTGCCCGTTAGAAAGATAAAAACGGTAAATGTAACTGGTGACAACCTTTCAAGAGAATGTGTCATTCCGTTCGTAATTTGACTGTAAAAACTGTTTTGCTTTGGACAACTTTTCTCGCACAATATTTTCGTAGAAGAATCGCGAAAATTTCACGACGCATAAGAATGAATATTTTATCTGCGGTGTAGCGTGCTTATTTTTTTTTTAATGCGAGTAGAATTAAAATTGTGTTTGAATATATATATATATATATTTTATTTACTTTAAAAAAAATAGCATAACGCTGCCAAAAAATAAAGGCACTATGGTCATTTAGATAATGTTCCGACATTTCATAACAGGCAGCTCTACGAGAAACACGGAAAGAGTAAAGTCGTCCCGCACAAAACAGTTTTCCCCGTAAAAATATCGGTTTATTTCCTCGATTCCGAAGGTTGCTAAATTTATCTAATTTGCTACAGCACACAATTTCACTATCCCGCAAAAATAAAAACGAACACATTAATTCAATCGTTTGTATTATGTGCACTACATTTTACATGATATGAATACATAAAACTTTTATTTAAATGGAACCTAATGAACTGAATTTATTGATCACATTTTGAAACAATTTTAACAACCTGAAAAATGTTCTGAGAATAAAACCCAATAAACGATCTAGGTGATGGGCGGTTGAGAATATAAATAAAAAAACGCTTCGAATAAAGTGGAAATTGCACACTTTTCGAAGTACTCCGTGAACAAAGTCGGAAAAAGTTTTACAATTTTGAAAAATATCCTAACAATTTAAATGCGACTAAGTTAACAATCGCTCTGTTACCATAGATTAAAATAGTACAGTTATGCTGATCGGCGATCGCGAACTCCAGACCACTATATTTGATACTTCATTACATTCCGTATTTTATCATTAAACACTGCAGTATGTGTGTGTGTGTTCCTATACGTAATTTCATGGTTACACTATATACGCCATAGACAAATCTGTAGCTTTGTGCAAGAAGGGCCAGTGTCGCATTTTGTGATTGTTGGAAAATGGACTTTGCAATTTTAATTCCCCATAAGGCCCTGTGTATTTATTAAATGTAAATTTTTGTGTAATTTTCAATTTTTACAAAAACTTCAAACAATTTTTATTTTTAAAATAAAAAATTTTACACTTTTCCTTTATCATTAATTGACTTTTTCAAAAAAATTGGCATTGCACCTTCTTCCGCCGAACCACAGAAATACTTGTGACAACAACACGGGGTCTTTTTTTAATGTATTTAAAAGTGATAGTTCGAATATTTTCGAGTCAATAAGTTTTCATTTTCGCCGAAATTCCATTAAAATTGCCTACACGCGACCCCAAACAGACGATTCGAATATTTTTCACGTGGTGGTATTATTTTCGTCTCTTAAACTATATTATTTATTTTTGAAATATCTACGTAATATAAATAAATATATATATATATATATATATATATATATATATATAAATATAATACGGAATATATGTATATTTGGTTTTTTATGAAAAATATTATTATATTATATTATTGTTTACGGTCGCGGTGGGTATTCAGCTCTAAATCGATAAACGTAAAAATGTTTAGATTTCTTTTGTGGTAGAAATAATATAATAATATATACGACGACGTCTCTTCAAATTATATTAAAAAATAGAATGTAAATATATGCAGACCGCATTTATTCAGAGGAAAAAATACCGCTTCTTTTCGACTGGACCGACGACGAATTATATAGGATTATTCGAATAAAAAGGCCTGTAAAACTCGTCCGTAATACAATAATATTATGTATATTCAACAAAATACTGTTTTAGAGGACGAGAAATTATTATTATTCTTTTTTTTTGGTAAAAACCGTTTCGCGCGAAATTTTTGAAATGTTCGTCGCGAGTAAAACGGAGAATTTTAGCCGCACAACTGTTTTTTTTTTCACAAATACGCCGAATATTTAAAAAAAATAATAATTATTTTATTGTTAACAAATATGATAATTTTATGGGTTTTTTTTTTTACAATTATTGAATACGACAATAGAACAGTGGCTTGTTTTTTACAAATTTTTAATTACAAATTTGATTATTCAGTAATCGTATCACTATTGTTTATTTATAAAATATTATAATACATAATTAAATGGCTCTTGTATTAAAAAATTAACAAAGATATTACCTTACCATCTCAGATTGGAAGTTGATCACGGAAAAATAAAAACACAAAATCATTAAAATTGCGATTTTTTATCAGGCCTCCGTCAATAGTCTTGTAGTCAAATAATCTATTTTATTTGAACGAATACGGGTTTTAAAATTTTGAATGAATTTACGAAAGACACTTAAAAGCTTTGATGAGATTTTTTTGATCAAAAAGGAAGATCAGCCCCCGCCCTTTAAAATTCTAGTGGATATTATACCTATTATTAAAACAGGAAAATTAAAATAGTATGTTTTCGCCTACGCATAGAAAATCATTAACGCCCGCTTTGATAACACTGCACTTGTGTTAATATTCTTATCAGTGTCTGTTGTTGGTTGTTATCGCGTCACCATCGTCAATCATTCAAAGCCGTGAAAACCGACAACAGTTTCTGTTGGATAATGTTATTATTAGTAGTACCGTTATTGTTGTTCGCATGTGTTACGATATTATTGTTATTAATTAATTAACGTGTGTTTAGTATTATCAAATTGTGTCCGACGTCAGCTTCACAACGCTCGTCAGTCGGTCAACAACAATAGGTGGCTACAATAGCCAATAGGTGTGATATACCATACACAACACATCGTATTATTGTATAACATGCGTGTATTAGAATATGTACAGAGTGTGTAGCGAACAATTCACAGGTAAGAGTTTTATTTTTAAAATCGCATGTATAATACGTACCTACACAGGTTTTGAAATGTCATATTACCCTGGCCCGAAATCGAATATTATATATAGTCTGAGAGGTGCAGTCATTTATTTTTCTCTCGAAAAAAGCTTTTTTCTTGGGTTCTCAAAAAGCTCGAAAAGTTCAGGGAAAAATATATAGTTAATTGACGTGTTTTTTTTTTTCTGAAACGGTACTTTACCGGCGAAGCTTTTCTAAGTCTATACGAAAAACTGGCCGGTTCAACTGGAATGTACAATGTACTATTATTTTTGTCGTAAGAACAGGCGAAAATAATAAATTCTTTCCTTTCCGGTAATGGAATTTTCACCAAATATGGATTTGAGTAATTTGTTATACAAAGAAACGATCGTGTGAATTTTTAAAATAGTATATACTGTATTTATAAACTCGTCGATTGTAATAAAACTAAATATATGCAGGGTACAAGGTTGAAGAGGTACCATGCAAAACTTCATTGCTGGCCCTCAAATTCCAATATTCTAGTGAATTTTGATAGCATTAAACAGCTAATAGGATGCACATCCCTACAGTTAACTTATAAAAAACGGCGCAAAACAGATAAAATTTGCTGTAAAGACAGACAACGTCCGTCTTTAGGCTTTAGGACTTGAGGACGATGATGAAATGCATTAAGGCCGGATGCATGCGTCACGGAGGAGATAAATATGCAGAAATTAAAAGGATATCTGGTTTACTGTGAATCGAAAGAAAATTTTAAATGAGATATTCCCAAGAAGTTCACAGGAACATCCAGAGTATCTTGTTTAATAAAGCCTTTAAAAGTTTTGCAGGCGAGATGCGATAGCGTACTTGTTTTTCCTGGATTTAGGTATATGGAATTACTGCAGTAATGTGAATGCTTAAAAATAGTTTAATTTTGTCATTTTGCTATGTTGAATTCGTGAAAATGTATTTATATATATAAATGCACAGAGCAGCATACTTTGATAGGAAATTCTGTAGAAGATCAGTTCACTTGTCTTCGAATAAAGTTGTATTTGATTATTTCGATCAATAAACAATGACAGTAATGGCGGGGTGGTGATATTAACACACATTTTCCATTACCATTGGTTTAAAAGAGGAAAGTATTGTAAGTATCATTAGATCACAGATGGCAAAGGTTAAAATTCGAATTTTGAACTCTTCTAAGATCTTGATCTATTGCAAAGAATCGATTACTGCAATAAAGACGAATTCATTATCGAGTAGTATATGGATCTTACGAGTGCAATAAATTGAGATATTTTGAAATTTTTAAGTTTTGTTTCTAACCTGAGACTTTAAGAGCCTAAACTAAGTACAGTGAAGTCAATTGTTCATAAAGGTGTGTGTAAATAAAAACTCATAAGAGATCTTCAACAGTGTATACTGAGGGTTAAGATCTGAATAAAAAGTATTATAGACTTAGATTTAGTTACCCGTTAACTAAATATAAGCAGTAAGCATGTATAAAATTATTTTTTTATTATTTCACGCAAGAAGGTTGAAAATTGAATGCTCCAACCGTATCTTCCACAACCTATGGAAATAGGTTGGATGTATACATTTTTTTTTTTATTTCATATTAATACTAACATTATCTTTATATTATTGAAGAGCGACAAACAACGATAAAAAAAATAAAAAGAATAATAATAACTCTTATCTACAATTCGGAATAGCTATCTGATGATAAACATAGTTTATTATTATTATTTTTTAAACAGAATTCTGTTTCGATATACATGTCACATACGCTTTATTTGTTTTGTTTTCAATTTTTCACGAGTCCCTCAGGTTTTGGGTCGGATTAACGATAATTGACTCTCCCTACGGGAAGGTCTACTCCGACTGCATCTATAGCCCTGCACACTCTCGGTCCTTTTTTAATTTTTCATCACAATACCGGATGGAACCTTTTTTTTCCATAATATTTTAACGCCTTCGCTGTTTTGAATATAGGGTTATTCAGCGGCGAGTCGTACTTATTACTACACTATACAATAATATATTTTTCTCTCGATTTAATTTTTTCGCTTTTCATCATTATCATCCATCATAATGACTTTACTTGTATAAATACCCGAGATCACTAAACAATATTATTAAAATATTATTATTCTCTCGCGGATGAAACGAGATGTAGGGAAAAAATTCAATTTAAAAGAAGAAAAAAAACCGTAGCTAATGACAGGCAATTACTGTTCTGCGGATTACAATATCAATAGCTGCAATAGGTCAGGTTAGGTTAGTGACGGCGAAGACAAAAATAATTTTATTATTAACTGAGAAATAATATTCTTCAGACATCTAAAATATAATTACCATCACCAACATCATGACAACATAATTAAAACTGATTTTTTTGCGTTTATAAAAGTATAATTGTATTGATTGAACAGAAAAATCCTCAATATTCGTATATTTTATTCGCTCCGTATCGGGAAATCACTATAATCATCAGTATGCTGAAACTTTTTATTTAAGGAGACTAAAAAGAAAACGAATTACTATTAATTAACTAAAAAAACTTAACATTCATAAAACAATAAACGTCTCTTTTTAAAAAAAAACATTTTTGCCCCTCGGAAGGTTTTTGCACCCTTAACACAGTCTACAGTTGAACAATGATCGATCTCACATAGAACAACCGTTTACAAGAGAGTTTTCAAATAGGAAACATGTAATCGACACACGATGGATCTAAGTCAAAAGGTTGTAAATAACAAAGATAAACTTGTCCAGGAAAGCACAAACAAACAAAAAAAATGTTTACAAAAAAAAATGATTTTATACATTTTCAGTAACATTATCATGTTTTTTTTTTTAATTTCGTGTTCTTGAAAGATTATTTTTTTAAAGCAATATATTTATCGACATTTCCAACTCTAGTCCTATAAATTTAATGTAAATAGTTTACGAGTAAAAAGTTTTTTTTTTTTATAATATTTATCGCTTATGTCAAATTTTATTGAAATCGATCGTATATATTTTTGCAATTATGACGTGAGTGGCAGTGTGACGAAAAAAAACTTAAATATTATAATAAGGACGTATAAACGACAGTGTTGGCGAGTTTTGACGAAAAAAAACCAAGGCACTTACGCAAATTTTCGACATTTGAATCTTATTTAAAACGCTTGATAAACTTTGTAGAGATAAAGTAGAGAGCATCGGCAAAGCGGAGTATCGCTATCGGTACTCCGGTCCGGCGCTTACAACGTAATATAGAAAAAGTCAATTTTGAAAAAGTGCCGTTCAGCTCATTTCGGCTTATAGTTGTATAATCATAGGAGAAGGTTTTCTGACGGTTTTCCTTTTTCTATTTTTTATTTATTCTACAATTTGACGATTTAATCACAATATCATATAGGGAGCTATTGTTTTTTTTTCACTTAAACTTCAAAATCGTAAATATGGTGCGTGCCTGCGGGGGATTTCCCGATAACGACTATTATATATGTATAGTATTTAGGGGTGAGCATTATATTTTCATTTCTCCAGCAGAGTATCAGAATCGTATAATAATTATATGGTCTCTCGGCGTCTAAATTAATAACATGTTGTGCAATATACCCATTGTTTGTGTGTAGGTTAAGTAGGTATACATTATTGTATTTACTAGAGATTCGATTCGAATAAAGCAATATTACCTAACGTGAGTGCATTGTTAGACTGTCTAATTTATACATGACCTTGTGAACCCATGTGTGCGATTCTGAGAGTATTATTTTCGCATAACCATTTCGCGAAACACATATAATATTATAATATACAAATATTACGATTAAATGTAAATTAACCAAATATATGGTTATAATATTGCACGGGTACAATATACCTACTATAAATTATTATACAGTGATGTATAACAAATTCGAATTTTGGATTTCACGATATTATCCGCTGATTCCTTTGACCACGGTGAATTCGAAAATCAATTTTGTATATTGAGTGAATGTTGAATTGTTGTCGGTTGCACAATCGAAAATCAGAGTTTCAAAAACTGAAATGCCAAATTACCGACAATCCGGATTTACAAAAACGAATTGATGACATATACTGCAGTTAATCCGTTACGACGACTGAATTGCTGTTAATAATTAATTAAAGTACTGTGAAAATAAATTTCAAATAGGATAAATTATTAATTCTCGTCGGATATCCACGTTAAACGTTTTAACTGATTTACAAAAAAAAAAAAAAAAATGTAAAATTACGGTAAATACGAAATTCCGATCAAGTTCCGAAATAGATTTTTATACATACTCGAATCGTGTTCAAGCGGAATTAAATTCGTCAATACACCGTGATATTCGATCGAATCCAATAATTTCCTTCAAACGCGCCGAACACAATATACAACTTCGATCGGCCCACATACGGAAAGTATAAATATTATATAAATTGAATTTAATATTGAGAAACGCTCGTATATTATATTATATAACATTATATACAGGTACTGAAAACCCATACGTGAATATTATGCGGAAATACTTGTAGGTTAAACGCCAAAGTTTCCAAAAACGATATATTATGTAAATCCTCGCTGGATCGATCTCGATTATTCAACACCCCGACGAGCGGCCGAAAATAGCGCGTGCCGATTTTACAGATGGCACGTGTACTTGCGGATTACGAAACTATCTATCATTTAAGGCACCGTATTATTATATAGCTCGTATATATGTACCTGCACTACAACACGTGTGCGGCCCGGTTATATCCCGCCCAGGAAAAAAATATCCGAGCTTTTAAACTATGTAAAGTTCAACCGCCGCCGTCGAAAGATTTTAATTTTAAAACAGAAAATGCCATTAGATAACTACCGGTGTACTGCAGTAGCTAGTGGATTATTTATAACGGAATGTTTCAAAAAATCACTGTATCATATAGGTAAGTATACGGCTGCGAAATAACAAAAAAAATATTAAAAAAAAACGTTGTCAAACATATCCCCGTCGTATAATAATAATGTACGCGTTAAAGCGATGCAAATTCTCGTTTTATTCTATATATAGTTACTTTTGAACGGCCCAAGCTTAAAAGCGCGCATAATCCATTAGATATAAAAAAAAAAACGCATAAATACAATCGTATAAACAGTTTTGCCCCGCTCGTAAGCCGTTTTTTATTATTGTGTTTTTATTTTTAATAATAAAATAAAAAACTATTCATGCCATTTATTGTATACCGAAAAGTAGGTAAGACTCGCGCATAATTCGACCGCCAGATGAAACGAATAGGACGGGTCAGAGGATTATAATACATGGATAATATAGTGAACACCATTTAATTCGAATATAAACTTTGCGAGGAACATCAAAAAATGACGTCCCAAATACACCAGCTAGATCCAAATTTCTACAAAATATGTAGGTACTCTAGTTGTTATTTGATTGGAACAAGATGTATGGTAGAAAATCTAAAAAAAAAAAAACAGTAAAACCAATACACTCGCTGCACTTAGAATCAAAGTCAACGTCACTAGATAAACCAACGAATTTTGAAGGGAAAACAAAAACGGGCTATTGCGTCCATACAACTAGAGTAACATAGAGGTGACCTTATCAGATCGTGTTCCACAAATGCCTCCTAAATCAGAAAAAGCAAGTTTAAAAAATATACGAAAAGCGTCCAACTATCATACTGTGGTGTAATTTTTAGGAAATTTTAAATTACTTTGCTTATAAAAAAATGTAAGGAAACATTAGAGAGGATATAGTAATTTATTATATTATTGAAGTTGTGTGATTTCTCTTTATTTTTCTTGCGCAGATTTCGTATAGCCGTAGTACGGAACGATAAACAATTGCTTGACGAAAGATAATTCTAAGCGCAATTTGGTAATATATAATTTGAAGTTCCGTCATTTTTTTTGAAATTTTCGTTTAAATTTGATTTCAAAACGCTTATTAAAAAAAAAATCGTCCGATGGATTTGGAAATTTTACTACTTCTAGGTAAGTCCAATATATTACCAAGTTTCAAGTTTCTACGTGTATTTATAATCAAATTACAGCAAAAAACTCTCAAAAATTAAAATCCCTTGAAAGCTCAAACGTTTTGGCAATGATATCGTAAGAAAGTAAATTAAAAAGGCAATAAAGAGCTATCATGTAATTTTTCGATTAAATCATTTTTTCTGGTAGAAAACGTCGTCCGTGTTTTTATAAATTAATGAAATCGCGAAATTGTACGTGTCTAATCTAAGTGCTATTATTTAAAAATGGCGTCGAAAATCAAAAAGATTACATGTTTAAAGTACAATCCAGATAACTTGAGCTATCAGAAAAAATGCAACACTTATACATCGGAGCAAGTTTACTAAGAAAAAAACGTGTCCAAAGACTAGAAAAAAAAAAATAAAATAAACATCTTAGTAAAACCAATAGCTCCATCGCTATGCTCGGAATCTAAAATACATACAAATTGCGGTGTTAACCTACAATTGCTTCTCGTGAACTGAATTTTTTTTTTGTATTCGTGAAATAACATTCGGTGATATCGTTACGTTTGTACGAATTAAATATAAAGATACGCTCGCGGAAAATTTTGTTTCGGTTCACTCCGTTATATATTGTGTATAAGTACCTATAGTGTTTCTGATGGATTTCGATTTTCCAGTGTAATATTATATCAAGCACGATGTAATATTTTCGGGGCAGTTTTCCTGTGAACTGTTTTTATCGTATACCATCATATTATATATGAATAGGTATATAGATGATACGGGTGTTTAAAAGAGCCGTTGTAAGGTTGTAAGTGTCGGGTAAAATCGATAAACCGTTATTATTATGATACGATGCCTGCAAATTACGATACACCTAGTTGTCGAAAAATATATCGCCCGAAGCGATATTGCACTAGTTTATGAAGGTAGGGGGGAGAATAATTTTATGACTTACCTCAATGTTATTATTATTATTGCATAGATACATACATACTATTAAATATTACGACGACACGCGCAAACGGGGCAAACGGGCGCACGGGGTTTTAAAACGAAATACTGTTATTTCTAAAGCCGAGAAATTCGAAAAATAAATGTGTAATATTGTAAAACTCAAAAACAAAAAGTAATTTACGTCGAATTACCATACATATATTTTAATATTAATTTTCTGGTCATATTGTACTAATAAAAATGTATGATATTACAATGCCGTATCGTTTAAAATCGTGATACTGCAAAATTTGTATAATTAAACATTACTAAATTGTAACTATGGTTTAAAATTGGTTTTAAACGCTATATCTGAGTACTATAAGATTTTAATTCGAAAAACTATTTAAAATACTCGACAGCTTTATTAAAAAAGTTTAAAAAAGGGGGAAATACAAATAAAATAGGGATATTATAACCTTACCCATTATAATAGGTTTACTAGATTCCGTTTAAATTTTTTATTTTTTTTGATAACAATAATTATTCGGCTCTTTCGGTACATAAAAAACTATAAATTATCCTAATATCCCATTTATTTATAGGTATCTTCCAAATTTTATATCGTTTATAACAGTAGCCTACACCGTTACACGTGAAGCGAATAAAGTAGTGGATATTTTGGTTCCGTAATTTGATATTGGAATGTATTGGTTTTACTATGGTGGAGAGGTTCTTTTGTGCATATATACACATTTTCTACTATAGTTTTTGCTCTAACCAACAAGTGACAAGCGAAGAGTTGTAAGAGTTAGTGCATTGTGGAGATCATTCGTTGATTTTCCAAGCGAGGTTTTAAATAATTGGGAAAACGTATGGAGAAAATGGACGAATAATTATATGGCTGCACCGTGGCGTAACCATTGTCATTATTTTAAATTATTTTGATTTTTATTTTTTTACAGAAATCTTGCTCCAAATTTCAATAGGCGCACGTTTCCCAATGAAAATTTTGTTTGATTAATGAGTATGAGGATATTTTTAAGCGAAGCGAAGAATGTCTAAGATGAAATACAAAGATGTCTATTTGTTTTTTTATGTTTGTTTTTATCTGTAAACATCTTTTATACAAAAAATCTTACTCCGATCAAGTGTAGTTATTTTTTCTGAAAGGAAATTTTATCTAAGTGGTACTTTAAAAAAGTAGTTTTTTTAATTTTCTAAGTGGTTTTTATATAATTGGAATATGAAGAAAATTTACGAAATGTATTATTTTCAATTTTGTTTTTTGTTATGTGATTCAGTTAAAAATATTTCTAGAAACTTGAAATTTGGACAGAAACATTATATTTGCCTTTTCTAGATGTGGTAAAATGTTTAAAACATTTTAGCTATTTTTGAGTTAATTATAGGAATTACGTAGGTATAGGTACTATGTGAATACAGCTATTAGACCAAACAGAAATGTTTTAAAATGTAATAGGAGGTTCATCATAAATCGTAATTTGTGGTAAAAAACAAAAAAATGAGTAATGTAGAATTTTTCTGAAAGAATTTTAATATCTAATTTTGACGAAAATCGTAAATATTACAGCCTTTCAAAATTCGTATAACCGAACTCCGCTCCGAATAGTTTTTCGTTAACAATAGTTAATCGTAACGTACAAATATGTACAATCAAATCCCCACTAGATTCTACCTTCCCATCTTTTCAACTACAACAGTGCAAAGTATGTCCATCTTTTTTTTTTCTTTTTTTTTTTTTAAATTACTATACGAGGTATTTGTAATATATTTTCTGAAATTATTTTCTTAAACATTTCGATGTACGAACTTAAACTGCAGGTATCGCTTAATTAACCAATATTTTACGATATTATTATATAGGCGTGATTTATAAGTATTTATAAAGTTTAGGTAGGAGCGTGGTGTTTCGCATACATTAAAATAACACGGGATATATTATTATAATATTGTCGTTATTTAATACTTACCGGTTACTCCACACGCGGCTCGTATTATATTACTATTATAATATCCAAAGTTTAAAGTTTGGAAATCATAAATTACGCTATTATTATAATTCGCGTCATTAAAAATAGATATTACCACGTTAAAACAAATAACAAAAATAATATATGCGTATATTCGGTGAAAAATTCGATTAAAAAAAAAAAATAATAATAATAAATACATAAACATTTTTTTTCAAAACTCAAAGCGCGTATACCGATCGATTAAATACGTTTTGTGTGTACAAAATACTAATAATATCATAATATACTATATGCGCGTAATTTGAAACGTGATAGTCCGGTGTTTTTCGGCGATTCGTGTTACGTGCAATTGACTGCGCGGTGCGCATTATTATTTTAAATATTAACGTTACAATAAATTTACTAGAGATAGGTAGTACAGGTACACGAAAACGATTTTGCAGTTCGGGATTTCGAGTATATGGTGTGGGAAACGTGGGAAACGTGATACAATATTTTACACGATGAAAGATCCCGTATCATATTTTGGATTTTACCGATGATATATTATTGAATTTGGATTTCGCAAAACTCGCAATTTTTAATTTTTAGGGTTTTGCGAGTGATGTATCCAGCTGTCCTAAATCTATTATCCGCGTCGAAATCAAATAACTAGACAAAAGTATTACGGGTTTATTTACAAATTAGGTAGGTACTATTATGTATATATATATATAAATTGACCTCCTACGTATTATTCGTACAGTGATTCGGGTAGTTATTGTTTTAATTTAGCTAATGTATATGTTCATGTTTTTTTTTTTGATACACTTACACTATTGTTTATACGGGTTTTTGATTTTTTTCTCTTTACAAAATTAAAATAATATAATTTGGATGTAAAAAATAAACGCCTAGGCCTCTCAATAATAGAAACTAAAAATAAAAACTCAAAGGTTATATATATCCCTAATCCTCAATAAATCTTCTCTATAATTATTATCATCGAGTGTTCTGCTCTTTCTACACTATACTCCCGGACGAAAGTTTTCTTAGGTTCCAAGACGATTCCGACTATCCTGCCGTTTTCAAATGTCTTTCAATTGCATTCCGCTGTAAACATCTCGAGTAAACTTCGCTTTACTGGCTGCTCGATCGGTTTCAATCTCGGCGGTTGCCTACTAAGTTTTTTACACAATTGCAGTTTCAAAACGATACTTTCTAAAATTCGATAAATTATGGAAATATTCTATTGTAATGTTTACGTGGTGTACCGACTTCATACGTCACAAAACATAACGAATTCTAGCTAAGATAAATCATACGGAAAAACCCTAACTTCGTTGTTAGAAAATAACGTTTTTCGAATAACTTAATTATATCTGCCTAACAAAAATTTCAGGGATAATCTTGGAAAATACGATTCACTCAACAACATGACACGATCTTGCTATGATGTTTGCTATTTGAAAAACAAAATAGAAGACAAATACAGGATTTTGCACATGGAAAGGACGCTGTTGTTTAGAAAAAGTTTACAAAATTAGGATTTACAGGATAGGTACTTTATTTTATATCTGTTCGCAATGATAACTTATTATTATTTAAGAAAAACGATTCTGAGTTTAAATTGGTTTCAAAACATATTTTGAAATGCCGTGATTTTTATGATTTTCCTAATACTGTAAACACAAAAAACTTATGAAAAAAAATTATTACATTAAACTCAACTTTTATTTTACCACCAAATACAATTTACGGTGAACTTATATTTAATTGCCGAGCTTTACTCAAATAATGTTATCCCTAAGAATTAATAATAATTATTATTGGCCAAAAAGTTCAAAAATTAAAATCGCTATTAATATTATCATAAAAATCGTCAACATTTTATCACGCCTATTAAGTACTGATATAAGTATTCGGGTCTCTACGATTATTTTTAACTGGACCACACAAAAGAAAACGAAATCAAAAATAACAGAAACCATTATTGCATACATTTTCCCGATTTTTCCCAATTGTGAAGACAATTTTTAGAAAAATCAAAAAATTATATTCTCTATGAAATGAAACTATGCGAAATTCGCTACCGAAAATCACCTCTAAAGTTAATAATCCGAGCGAAATATCTGGTGTGTACGAAAAATTCAAATAAAAATGCATATATTACTGTATATAGTAACACCAATACACATTAATTCTTCATCATGGTCAGAATTTTAAATGCCAGAAAACTATCGCCGCGTTCTAAATTACGGCGAATCGGAAAACTCCAATACGTCACATTCGAAATACCGAAATCGTCGTCAGTTACTATATTATTTAAGTCTTCTGGCCAGCCACGGATTACGTAATTCTGAAATTCGATTTTCATTAGGCCGAAGTTTATAAACTTGACCTTTCAAACTTTTGAACCAAATCTCGACAAAATCGCATAAAAAGTTTTAAAAGAAAAAATAATAATACGAAGTATTTCAAACATAACACGTTGTGACGTAATACGTTTGTCAAAATGAAATCAATGTGTGTATCGGGATAAATAAATAATACATTTATAGAAAAAAATCCGAAAATCAGTGGCGGCTATCCTACGGTCTAAGTCTTGTTTCAGTAACGCGTACCAAATTCCGTAGATGGGTAGGTGAGTTGGTTGATCATATATGTTGGCGATATTCTATTCAGTTTATAGCATATAATAATATAATATGATATGATGGATAATATATGATAATATATGATAATATAATATAATATGATGGAATCGTTTTTTCCTCCGTGTTTTTTTTTTTGTTTTTTAGCTTTCATTTATAATTTTCACTTGTATTATACATTGGGAATGTGGGCGGGTGAGTTCTTAGAAACAGCCAGGCGTATTATTTACGTGAGGTTAGCCGCCACTGCCAGAAATATGAGTTTTCGGAAATACAAATAATTAAACGAAAAATACGCGTTGTGGTGGAAAAAAATATTTGTCAGGAGAAAGAGAATTGAAACTTTATACAGACGGGCACACACTTGTTGAGTGTTCCGACAAAAGTTTTGGGTTTTCGGATATTGCGTGGTGTTATTAAACGCATTTCAATATTATAATTTTCTGTCCTATCGTAAAATTTAGGAAAGGGCGTGCCCAATAATATATTCATCGTCCGTAGAAATCTCATAACTCAAAATATTTGTATAGGTTAGATATATCGTATATTTTTTTTCGTTACTTTTTACCCTTAAAATGCCAAACATATTATACGAAACGAGCTTCCTCTAACCTTTTTCCTTTGATAGGATATATTTTTTTTTATTAACAATGGGTACCTATGCATAATATAATAATATCAGTTTTTTGTTAAAAATATAAATTTTTTTTAAGGCGGTTACCGATTTGTACGCATCTATATACCTATCTGTCGAAAAATCGGACGGATAAACTTCTACTTCTGTAAAAATTTCGTAAGCCATTTTTTTTTTTTTAAATTTTTTTTTTTATCGAATTACCGCGGAAATGTTTTTACAGCGGAATTAGTGAAAAAATAAAAAAAAAAGAGAAAGTTTAAACTTCATTAAACGGCTAAATATTTTCATATTATACATAGATACAACTAACAACCACAAAATTTATTGTAATATTCAAAGGCTCGACATTAACGAGATTAAAAGTTTATGTTAAGTTAATTTTAATTAAGTTACATAACTTTCTAGTTATACACTTTTATGTTTTTTTTTAATTTTCAATTTACCAAACGATAATAAGTATAGCTATAATAATATTTTGCTTTGATAAACTTATGTTCAAACCGCATATTTTTGTGTACGCGCAACTGCTGTTTAAAGTCAAGTTATTTAAGTCTCTGTCTATATCTAATGGGCAATATTGCAACGACGTATTTTCGTCATTCTTGCAATAGTATTCATAACTTCAACACAGACTTAAAATTAAAATTATTTTGCCGAATAAAATAAGACAGCATTACTTAGGTACTATGTTTTCGGTGCAGAAATGTCTCAGTAGTCTCTAATACCTACTTGTTTACCGTGATTTTTACGATTTCCATCCGAATTTGAACTCAAAGAGCTTTTATAAAAACTAAAAGACTGCGCTCGACTTTTTTTTTCAACTTCTAAGTGCACTGAACTTTGTGTACATTTTTTTTTCAAACAATTCTCAGCAGTCAAAACATTTATATTAACATAATATAACACGAAATTAAAACTAAACAAAACTCGAAAATGTCTGTAAATAGCTTAAAAATCGCCGGAACATGTTGAAAATCTTACCATATATAGAAAAAAAAGCTAATATAAGTATTCTGTAAAAATTTGTATTACAAAAAGGGTTCTATATTATTATTTTTAACTGAAATTCAAAAAAAAAATAAATAAAAAACAAATCTAACGATTTTTTTCTCTGTTTTTCAAATATTAAGAAATTAGCATGCAAATAAAAAAAAAAAAAAAAACAATATCTCCCAGTCCAATAATGAGGTATAACTTTCTTTCGACAAAGGTACTACACTAGAATATCGGAGCAATGTTATTAGGATAGAAAAGTTAACGAAAAATATAACATCACACACGTCATAGTAATTAATATGTTATCGTATTTAATTTGGCGGAAATAATACAGAGTGGTCCAGAGAAACGGAAAAATTTGAAAGTTATGGTGGCAGTCCTAAGGAGTTTTTATTAAGACGATAGTGTTATTTTTGTTATGTAGATGTTAATAGGTATCTGTCATTTAGTAAACATGGATCAGTGGGTCGGTTCACAACGCGTTTTTGCCGCGAAGGCGCATTACAAAAAAAGCGACAATCTGACTGCCACTCGTAAGGAATTCCGATGCCATTACAATTTGGGACGTCATGACTATGTTCCGTAATATAAAGAAATTAAAAGTTGGGTTAAGAATTAGGAGGAGACAAGTTCAGCTCTCAAAAATAAACCACCAGGAACTCAGCGAACTCAGTGAACTTTTTCTTATGGGGCCATCTTAAAAACAAAGTGTACAACACTCGCCCAACAGCAATTCTCCAGTTGAAGACAAGAATCCAAGAATAAATTGCTGTAATTCCCATGGAGATGTTACAATCATGCAAAACCTTCATACACGATTCCAAGAATGCATACAGAGGAACAGACACCATCTTACTGATATTATTTTCCGAATTTGATATTTTATTGTTTTGAACTTTAAACGGCATATTATGTACTCTATGTTTTTAACAATAAATATTGAAACATTTTTTTTTTTTAACAATTGTGAGAGTTATTTCAAATTTTTCCGTTTTTCTGGATCATTCTGTAATAAAAATAATTATAAAAGTGCGAAAATACATTTCTGATATCATGTTGTGAGTTAAAATAATTTCTATAGCAAATATTGGTGTCCTCTGTGATAGGTATTTATGTTTTAATTGTTTAATGAAAAGTTATAATAATTTTGAAACGCGTGGGAATGAAATTTATCCATTAAATAATAGCGGAATTTCATACAAATAAACCTCGAATTAATACCGAACGAATAACGTTTAAGATCTGTACCTACTCGCGTGTTTAATTTGCCGAAAACATAAAACAATAACAGTCGTCGGTCGCTATTTCTCGGTCATTTGTGATTTACTACCCCGTAGGTAACGTATACCGACAATGTAAGGATTTCCTGAGCGCGTGTAGGTATGTGAAAACGAGTTCGCACGTAATTCGGCTTTTAATTGGTTTTTCACGCAAATAAATATCTCGAGGATTTTCGACTTGTTTCGAACGCACAACATTCGTCGGTCCGCCGTCTGTTCGGTATAGATATACGGTCGTTAAAGAAATCCCGCGCAGCCCATTGGTTCTTTTTCAAATTTATTATCGCGTATATGTGGCCTTACATACAAAAACGTACTGTTTCTGACCTTAAAATGAGGCCGTTTCGGCAATAAATTGTACTCCGTGCCCGAATCACCCCACCGTTTCAAATTGAACGCCAGAAACGTATTAAAAGTGTATGTATATGTAAACCATGTATAGGAAACAGGATTAATTATTACGTGGGTACCAACCGTTCGGCGGATTACGCGTGTATATCGACGTACACGTTATTAGGTATATCTCCGGAAAAATATTAAATAAATGTTTTTGAAAACGCGTACAGGAAAATTTACCGTTATCAACATTTGTCAAGTTCTTAATATTCACTCCGTTCGCTTTCAATTCCGTTTCCCTGTACGGTACTTCCGTTTGTCTTCGTTATTTTGTATAAAAACTCTTTTATCCTCTGCGTATGGAAATAAATAAATAATATTTACACCGGGAGCCATTGCTGTGTCTTCACATAGCGAAGGAAACGCATTTTGGAATTTTAATAACTACGGTGCTGTTGCGGGAGGTTCGTCAAAACTTAACAAAAAAAAAAAACCAGTCTTAGAAACACGGTAAACACCGGTATTCCGCGTGCTCCGAAAGTACAGTAGCGATAATCCGCTGAAAATTATCGTAATATGAGGAAAAGAGATTAACACGTACCTAGTCTGACTTATACGACCCAATAATTTATTTCGCAGGCTTATTCATTAACTAATTGTATTGCGCTTTATCTATTATATGAAGGTCCGCGGACAATAGACCGCCTAATGTCTATACATAGTATCACGTATTGTGTATAGTAAGCTGAATTTGCCGAGTTAAGGTAGAGGAGGAAAAAAATGTAATCCCCTCGACAACGGCAGAGAAAAGAAATGAAAATCGCCTATTGGAAGTATTTCCCGTTTCATAAACGATGAGACCAATATTATTAATATTTAAGCTTCTTTAAGAGCGTTTACGTAGTAGTATATGATAAGATAACGACGCAAGATATTCTTTTTTAAAAAAACGATTTTACTCTAACAGAGAAGTATGCCGTAAACCTAAAAGATGGATTTTGATGGTTCGATGTTAAAATTTGGTACCGCGGGCGTCCCGTGTCATTGGGTGCCGGAGCGTATCTACTGATCTCGTAGTAAATACCAATTAATTTTAACACGCGAACTAGAGAAATTAAGTTTAGGTACTGAAACCGACTATACAGTTCACTGCGATAAAGAAACAAAAAAAATACGATTTCCTTATTTTGGAAGAATTACATACATAAACAAAAGGCGATTGTTTTTTTTTTTAATAATTAAAACTTTTTGAACAGACAGTATCGTCGGACAGAAAACTCGCGTGGGAAACGTTTTTACAACGATCGAAAAAGTCTATGTAAAAAAAATGCCTACGCGGCTGCGTGCCCGTCACACACGTCTGCTCGGTTTTCCGAGACGGTACACGGGAAATTAATTTCGACGAAAAAAATACGTACGGGTTCGATTTCAGAAAAAAAAAAAAACTAGATAGACGCCTATATGCGGAGATGCGGTACGTTTATACAGGAGATAAAATAATATAAACCGAGCGCGTGTGTTGCGCGCTGAGCGCAGTGCTCGCGAAAAAGTTTTCTTTTACGTTTCGCCGTTTCCACAGCCACCCGACATATTACATACCTATATATCTAAATGCATATATATATATTGTTTTTTGTTTTTTTTTTTTTTTGTATACACAAGTACAGCACGAGCGTATATACCAGCGGCACTTGACAATAGCCAATCACTGTGCCAGCCACGAAGAGGCGGCTCGTTCCGGCGGCGGCGTTATATTGCCAACTTAAAGTCGCGTCTGTACAGACTGTACTCTCGTGTTTCTTCTAAACAGCTTTGTAATTTAATACCGGACGCCCGCTCAGACACTTGACGGCGGCGGCGGCGGCGGCGGAAAACGGCTTTATTGCTTCGGGTATTTCTTTTTGTTTTCCTCCACGCGTATATATTTTTGTGTGTGTTAGTGCGTTCACTCCTCTCGCGGCCCGTTTTCGAGACGGAACAAAGAACAGAAGAAAAAAAAAATATCGTATTGAAAAAAAAAAAAAAATAAATAATAATAAATATATCGAAAACCCTTCAACCTCCTCCCTCCCCAATTTCTCCTTACCGTGGTGCCCTTTATAACCTATTCACCGTGTACGCGGACCCGTTTCGCTTATAGACGAGCCCACGACTCTTGTGACTCTTGCGCGGCAGTATGCCCCACGCGCCATGTGTGTAGTGTAGCGAGCGTTTCTTCCGCCGCCGACGAGATAGAACTATATATACATAATACATACTTATATTATATTATAATATATAAATAATAATACGATGCGTGTAACCCGGAGCTTGTAAAAAGTCCCTTTTGACGACGGCGTCAGAACGTCCGTGGAAATTCACCGAGACGATAATATTAACATCGGCACGAACGGATAGTTTATGCACGTGTATCGTCGTATAACAATGGTCATCGTGTCTTTAGGGATTTATATATTTCCGGAGAAGAAAAAACGATTCTTTACGGTGAAATTAGGTTGTTCCGGGCTAAAGTAGAATAATTTCGTGAAAATCGGTTTTAGATTCCGAATAAAAGTGAAAAAGCTGCTTTTAGTTTAATTGACATTGGGCTGTAACGCTATTGGTTTACCGATTTACCGTTGTTACAATTAATTGCATTTATTTTTAAAAGGAAATTGTGTAGGTATATTTTACGTAAATACATTGCCTATTATTATCAAATATCAAGACGAGCATACGACCTATGGGAAATCCACACTCGTCTGGTATAATAAGTCTATAAAAGTAAAAAACATTTCAGAGTACAAAATAATACGTTTATAACTGTAGTTATGGATTATTATATACAATTTGGGAAAGCCTACCCCGTGGGCGTGTAAATTCTCGGTTTCTTAACGAATTTTAATCAAAAAACTGAATAAACTATAATTCCATAAATCATGTTGAAAGAATTTGGTAACCTGTAATGCGTTTTACTAATTAGATATTTGACTGAGCCGCGACCGGCAGGTAATCAAAAATCAGTAGGGCTTCCTTCGCTTGCTTGTACGCTTGTTGCATAGACTGACAAGGACACACGAAGTTTGAACAACACTTCGAAGTTCAAACGGTTGGAGCAAGGAATGTATTGATTTTACAACGATGTTTATTTTTTTTCCGTGGACAACTTTTCTATCAGCAATTTTATACTAATTTTCAAGTATAGCACTTTTCTGAAAGGAAATTTGTTAGAGGTGGTACTTTAAGGAGGTAATTTTTTTATTTTCCCACGAGTTTTTATAATAAATGGAAAAAGACGTAGGAAAAACGGGAGAATGTACGAAATGTATTAATTTTAATTTGTAAATATTACGGTCTTTTAAAATATGTATAACCGAACTCCGCTCAGAATCATTTTTCATTAGCAATTATTAATTTCTGCGGTAGAAATAAATACATAAGACAAATACATTAAATGTCTCCTCTATATCATACCTTCCCAACTTCTCACGTACAACTGTGGCCCTCCCATCTTACGAAATATGTCCGTATTTCTATTTTAATGTTTACTGGTATAAATTTATATTCTTAATATTCGTATTTAAATTAACAATAATAATGATAAAAGTATACAATAATAATATTATATTATTATAGTCGATATACAATATTAAAGTAGATAAGTAGTAGTTGACCAAATTAACGTCCGTAACTATGCGGATGGGCAAACACAATGGAAACAAAAAATGTTCTAGACATATGTTCAGAAACACAAAAATAATTTAACTTAACTTAAGTTATCCTTTTCCTGAAATGTGTTAGGTACTCCTGAATTTGAATAAAAATTAAGGTCTTAGATTATATTTATATTTTAAAATTATCTTACAGAATATTTATTCATTTTTTTTTTTTTTTAGCTCAACATAAACCGGTTCAAATGAATTCGTTACCTTATGTTCTGATTTTTAATTTAGAATTCGCATATTATATATAGAATATTGACTTTTCAAAAATATTACACATTTTTTTACAATATATGTACTCGAATTTTATAAGACTTGATCCATTATTCACGGTGTGCCCGGGACTATCTATTTCACCACCTCCCCATAAAATCATGTCACCGGTTTGTGTGTATGTGTGTGTGTATGAATACATTCCAAGTATACGATTAGTACGTATCGCGCAACGAATGTCGTATGTTCTTTCTTTTTCTTTTTTTTTGTGAATCGTCTTCGCCGTTATGGAATTTTTTAATTACGTTCCGACGGGACAAGACGATGCACGGTAGCTTAACGACTTATTTTTCAAACATGATAATAATATTAATATCACAAAATAATAATAATATTATTATTATTATTAGACGGGTATTATAATTTGTTTGCCGAGACGCCCCTGAGCTGCAGACGTATAGAAATGAGATGCGATAGAGAATCACCGGATTTCTGTGTACCTCCCCCCACCTCCCATGACGGATTGCGTTTTGCTGATTAAACGCCGAGGAAATTATAATATTTATATTAGGTACATGAAATATTTTTCCGCACAGAATTGTTTTGAAAAATAAAAATAAAGTTTCTTTAAAACTTGATAATACATTAACGATTTTGTGATAACATGATAAAATACATAGAATTTCACGTGCTCTATGGTATTTAAAAGGTTTTATTTTTAATGACGTTAAAAAAAAAATAAAATTGTAATGTATCAACTTTAAAATACTCGAATTTACTTTCACATAAATTTACAAGTAATCTTTAGTCGTATAACATTATCACGAATACTCGCTGCTCATTGGGTAATCGAGTAAATTATACCAAATATTTTAGTGATGAATAACTCTGGAGACGAATATTGAAAAATATAATATGTAAACGACAAAGTTTTAAAGGCGATATCGTTGACAGAGTTTTATAATAGTTCACGAATTATTCAACGATAATTAACGAAACGATACAAAAAAAAAAAAATTTAATTTCACATTTAGAGAGACAGCTTAAAAGAAATTATTGCCATGATTTTCTAAATTTTAGAAGTTTTAGAATCTAAAACAATAATTAAAATATAAATAACAAAAGAGTGGGCTGTATAATTTTTTTGATAAAAAATTTCACCTTTTGTAC